TGCTTCGGTGATCTCGGTGTGAGCCTGCACTTTTCTGTGGGAGCAGTGTGAGACCGCCTGGTGTTTCAGACGTGAAAAGAGGCAGCCCAGACTTCAGGGCATGTGTGCATAGGGTGGTGTCAGTAAGCAGTCAGCAGGATATCGCCAAGAGATACGTGACTTCCAAACTTCAGGGAACACTGTTTTTTAATGAAAGAATCAAGCTGTGGATCACACCTGCCACGGAGCATAGCCTCCTGCTGGCTGCCAGCCTTTGCCCAGCTGACTGCAGCACTTGCTGAATCTGAGCGATGACCCGGGACACCTCGCCCGCCTCATGCAGCAGCGAAGGGTGGTCCCCGCGCCTGGCCTGGGCGCGCAGGTCCGCGCGGTACACGACCGCCTGCCGGTACAGAGCCTTCCACAGCCCCGCCAGCCTGGAACGGACCGAGAGAAGGCACACGACAGACACTGATCAGACCCTTCTTAATGCTTTGGCGAGGAGGAAATGACCTTTCTGAGATGGTTGCCTGGTTGAACAAAACTGCCCATTTCAAAATGTGCCCATTTTCCAGTTCATTTGATTCGGAATGAACTGTCCATCTGGTAAACTGAACTTTCAAAACACCAAACGGTACTTTTTATATGTATATATAAAATCTAATATATCGAATATAAAAGTTAAAGTCCTACTGCTGCGAGGCTGAGGCAGGACACTGATGATGGTAACATCTGAACAAACAGAACATGCTTGGAGAAAATACACTCTATATATAAAAGATATAGTACAGTGCATGGTTTTGACATAGTTAATCAGATAGAAGAACTGCTGCTGATGACAGCTGATTTCCCATGGGTTTAGAGATTTAAAAATGGTTTAAATTAAAAATGTTTATTGTTGTTGTTTTCATTACAAAAGAGCTGTCAAACTTCTCATGAAGAAGGCTGTGGTAAAAGCTTGAAAAGGGAATGGATTGGAGTGCCTGACTACCTCAGCTTCTCATTTTTTAGCCACTGCAGAGTGCAACTAAGCTCACTAAGTAGACAAGAACCTCACCTGGGATGAAATAACCCACAACCTTCCAGTTATGAGCCCGAACCCTGACCGCAGCGCCACACTCATGCCCATGAGATGACAACAGTGCCACCAAGCAGTGAGGGAGGGAGTATGAAAGCAAACCTTCCCTGAAAATCCCAGATTTCACCGTCTTTCTCCCCTCACACACTAAGCCTAAAATCTTCCCCATAATAATGAGACATATCACTGCAGAATTATAAACATCTCTGGCAGTTTCCACCTTATCTAAAAGCAGTTGCTGAAATGGTCCCTGCTCTTTTGCTATACAAACAGCCTGCATCCATTTTCACGTCCCTAAAACCAGTGTGGAAATCCACACTTGCATCATCAGCAAAAGACTGACATTTCTGAGCAGCCAGAACTCGCAAAACCCAAGACACAGCAAATCCAGTAACCAATGCATTTGTTGCAAGGTGTTCATTTACACTCCACACCCTTAGGGACCACGTGACTGACCTCTCCTAGTTTGACACACACATGGCTTGAATGTGGTGACCAGAATGACAGAAGAAGCATCATCTTACACATTTCCCCTCAAGTGCAGTGAAGTAGGCATGCACATAAGCACCACTTGTTTGCTTTCTGGCTCACTGGACTGCAGGCAGCCCACACACATTATGAAATGGGTGGTGTGGTGGCTCTGTGGCTAAGGATCTGCACCTGTGGCTGGAAGGCTACCGATTCAAATCCCTTAGCCAGCAGAGGAAGGAATCCTACTCCGTTGGGCCCCTGAGCAAGGCCCTTAACCCCAACTGCTCCAGGGTCGCTCTATAAATGGCTGACCCTGAGCTCTGACCCCAAGCTTCTCTACCTGTCTGTGTGTCTCATGGAGAGCAAGTTGGGGTATGCGAAAAAACAAATTCCTAATACAAGAAATTGCATATGGCCAATAAAGTGGTCTTATCTTATCTTATAAATGGCGTGAAGAAAACCTGCCTGTCAGAGGGCAGCTTTCGGACACGGACGGCCCCGGATGTCCACTTGTGGCTGTGCTCCTGCTCCTGCAGGAGAGGGGTGCAGAAGGAATCGGAGTGCACTGGGGCCCGGCGCTGGGGCTGGTATGTGGCGTCCACGCTGCGGGAGGCCAGCCTGAGGACCAGCAGGGCCCCCGAGAGGGACTGAGCAGAGACCCGCTGGGGAGCGAGCAGGAGCCGCGCTGTCTGCTTGGTCAGCTCTACGGCCAGGCCCAGGCAGCGGACGTGAGGGGCGTCCCAGGGCAGGAGGGCGAGGAAGGCCCGGAGGAGCCGCAGGACCCGGAAGACCCAGGGCTCCCTCCGAAGGGCCTTCCACAGCTCCCTGTCCACGGCGTCGGCCGGGGCAGCTGGGAGCGGGCAGCCGCCGAGCTGCAGGAGGCTAGCGAAGCGGACGAAGCAGCGCACAGCGCACTTCAGGAGCTGCTCCTTCTCCGCCACCCTGCCCAGAGAGACCCCCAGCGTCCAGACGGTCAGGAGGTTCCTCTGGATCGGCTCGAGGTGCACGGTGGAGGCACCGGCGGCACCGGGCAGGGCAGGCGCGGGCTCAGGCCTGGCATGGACGGTGTCAAACATGGAGGCGAACTCCAGCCGGCCTCCGTCCTCCACAAACCGGCTGGAGAAGACGGTGCCATCGTCAGAATCGTCTTCACTCTGCAGGGCAGGAACAGAGGCGCAGCCGTGAGCAGCCAAGAGCTCTCGGAGCAGGCACATGCCACCGAACCCCGATATTCAGGCCCGGGGCTCAGCTGCCAATGAGTTGTTTGTCAATTCTTACAAGAACTTTGTCATTTTAATCAGATAAAAACAGATTTACAATCCAAATATTTGGAGATTAAAGGGGTTTTTTTGAATCCTAATCTGATCCTGACCTGATTCCGAAAATTGATCAGTTACATTCTAAACACACACCGAAAAGGCATTTAGTTGACATCCCGATCCAAAGAGGCCATATAACAGCACAATAATATAACCTCGAAACAAATGGAAAACGCATTCACTGGGTGATTTCATGAGGAGCAACCCGACAAGGCATTTCAGCACGGTGTAAGACAGTCTTTGCCACTGACCTGAACGTCAGCCGTCTTCTCGTGCAGCTCCGTCGCCACGTCCGCCCCCAGCAGGAAGTGGGGTACAGTTGTCAAGGTAGATTCCCTGGGCCGCAAGTCCTGCAGGCTGAGCATCTTCAAGGAAGACATAGACTCCAGCTTCAACCTCTCGTGGGGCTGACAACACAAAAGAGACACCATTCCCGTCAGAAGTCAGAGCGACCTCAGGTGACCTCAGTTTGACATCGTAGACAAAATCAGTGTTTTTAAGAACTCGGGAACAGATTCCACGACCAGGATTCAGAAAACCTAATCTTGGTAATAAAACTGATTTCAGCCAAATAGTTTTCTCTTTCAGAGCCAGTATTTTTAAGAAACCCTTTTTTTCACACTGACCAATTGTATAGGTGCCTACACACAAGCCAGACTGCTGCAGGCTCCATGACCCTCAAGCCCAACTGGACAAAACATTCCAAGCTGCTGTTCAACAGTTAACTGGTGGAGAGAAATCTCAAATGTATTGTAGGGGAGCATATACATGTACAATATGAAAATATTTTGGTAATTATAATTGAAAGTCAAGTAGAAGTAATAAGAATGATGTTATTTGTAAGTTTTATTTAGTGAGTGAATAAACATTTAGCTGGCTGGGAAAACTTGGCATCGTACGTGTGACGCAACACTAGGCGCCACCCCACTGAGCAGCTCGCTGCTAACTCTGGGTGAAGTTTGGGTCCTAACAAAGCCCGAAACTCAGGACCTCCCCCCAGAAGGGCTAGGCTCAACGGTTTCCGATTCCGGCTGGATCTCGTTTTACCTGGGTGGTCCCGGCCAAGCCGCTCCTCAGCTGCTCCAGGCGGCTGGCCGTGTCCGCTAGCAGGCAGGCCATGAGGGAGGAGGCAGAGGCGGGGCTGGCCACGCGCAGGACACTGGCCATGTAGCCGTCGGAGACGATGAGGTAGGACAGACGAGGGTGCGCGGTCACGGAGAAGCGCTGCCTCAGGAGGTCCTGCGCGGAGGCACAGGAGCTCGCCGACTGCTGGGCATCCTGACTGCTCAGCTGGGGCATGGGGGGCCTGGAGGGACACACAGCACCACCGGGAGTCAGCTGGATGACTGTGGGGATCCCAGAACCAGTTCCGAAGCAGGAATATTGCACAGGAAATGCTTCATTCTACCTGATCGACAAAGCGATCGAGTGAAAACTGTGTTATGATGCCTGACAGAGTGCAGATAATCCACAGGACAAACACTCGATTTATCCTCAACCACCAGCCTTCTGCAGACCAGCCAATGCATTTCCAAAAGAACACCTCTAGTCATGAGGCCGGTTTTGCTACCTCAGTTTTTGACAGGTTTTATGATCCCAGCAAATACGATGATCAAAGCCCATTCATATAGTTTTTTTATTAGCTTTGTTTTAAAGTTCATTGGCAGGTCAAATGACCTGATTTCAGGGGAGGGAGATGACTAATTAACTTAAAATAAAAAGGGAAGTTGCAGAACAGAACTGCATATTGTCCACCTTTCTTTTACGTTATTTTAATGTCAGGCACAAGATAATGTGAACACGGGCACCAGGGAAGAGAAGTATGCTTTATTTTCAAACAGGTCTACGGGCATGTAGAAATGAGAAACACTGGAACAGCAGTCACACTGAGCCCTTAAAAAGCCCAGAGCCCCAGCAGCAGGCTTATTCCGTTCCTTACTTATTTTCATTCGCAGCAGCTAACGGGATGAGACGCCTGTTCCACCATTAGGTTCGGCCATCTTTAAATTCCTTAAAATCCAAATTCAAACTAGTCAGACATCCTTGTGTACCTCCATGAGTGCCAGGCCAAAACACTCCGTCGCTGCTGAGTAACAGCACTTGGAAAGTATGTGAACTAGGGTAACAGTCCAAACCGAACGTGCAGGAAAAAAAATTAAGTGCAACATGCAGCTGTCGATGCAAAATGTGACATGGCACCTCAACACTGGCTTTAAGCCGTGTAACATCGCCTCGCAGATTAGTCCAGCACTCTCGTACTTACGTGGCCAACAGGACACAAAGGCCATGTCGGCAGAAGAGAGCTCAGGACGTGAAAGAGCAGAAGACTACACAGGAGAAAGAGAAAGATAGAAGAAAGACCAACAGTGGTGTTAAGAGCTGACACAGACAGTGGATGTATGACAGTCATAGTGCCTGGGGGCTGGCAGCACAGGCAGAGAGGGCTCTGCTCCAGTGCTTTGTAATGACCAATCCTGTGATCCAGCATTCCTGCCTCTGGCAAGAATTCTTAATGTCACTCTACTTTCTTAAGTGTGGCCGACACGGACTGCAATACACTTCAAACAAATCAAAGCGGAGAGCGCAAGGAAATGGATAAAAATCAACATAAAAAGAATCACCAAAGCCAAGCATACTGTAGTCATGTAGTTGCATCGCACCTACTAGTGGAAAAGAACGGTACGGTGTAAAGTTACGGTATGTCATGTTCTTGGACAAAGTGTAAGACCAGCTTTCTTCTAGAACTGTCTAGTCTCCGAGCTAATAAATCTGCGTCAGTGGACAACATCCTTTGGGATTAAATATGGAAATAAAATTAATTAACTATTTTTCAGAAACAGTTCTTTTCTAATTTAACTAATCAGTCAAGTGTGACCTTGCAACCAACCAGGGTGCAATGGTGACACTGTCGCCTATAGCGTTTAGCCCTCCCACATGGCGACTCACCTGAAGGTGACCAGGGGGTGGAGGGGAATGAACTCCGCAGGGCCAAACTCCATGGAGCAGCCTGTGGTGGAGAGGGTGAGCAGGGCTCCCAGGCGTGTCACGAACAGCAGGGCTCCGCGCTTCAGCACACAGGCCAGGTACAGGCCGTCAGGGGTCCAGCTCATACTGCCCACCCAGTATGACCTGCCGAGCACAAAGCCCATGGCTCGCGTCAGCACTGACTGCTGCACAGCTTCCACTGACAAACCCCAGACTCCAGGACTCCCTGAGAAGACCCCATGGGCCAAGGATATTCCAACAGCTCTATCAACAATTTTCGGAGCGTTACAAGCACTGTGTCCTGGCAAGACCCCTAGTTTCCAGGTACACACCTGGCATATTTGCAAGGGATTCGGAGGTCCTTGCTGCCACAGCCATGGAGGCTGCTGGAGATGGTGACAAAGTTCAAGGTGCTGACAAAGAAGACCTGGGTTGCCTGCAGAAGGAATTCAAGAACAGGTAAACAATGGTACTAAAAGACCACGAGAAAAACTTAACACTTTTAATCTAACACAAATTACTCGCACAGGGAAAAATCACAAACTTGGAGATTGGGCATTTACTATACCTTGGGATCCTTCTGGTTCACAGCAACAGCGAGCACCAGTCCGTCTCCAGAGAAAGCAGAGACCAGGGCTCCCCTGGATTTGACAGGGTGACAGGGGGGAGTCATCCTGCCCATGGGGAACATCTGAGTGACCCACTGCACGCTGTAGGGCACCAAGCTGAGAATGACACAAAGCAACCATGCCTTTCTTCTCCCTGAAGAGTACAATCCCCAATGTACAAAGACTCTTCTCTTTCCCAGCTGGGAGTTTTATGCAAAAATATATATTGCAATTATCTTGCACATATGGTTCTTTTCACCGCACTCACTCTGCCAATGTACCTCCTCCAAAGAAGGAACACAGCATCTATTTATACACCTGCGGGCATTTTTGTGCCCTACGTTCACAAAGCATCAGTGATCACGGCGTCTTTTCTTTATGCAGAGGTACATAAAATAGAAACTGAATTTTAATGAGAAAATACAGTTGTATTCAATTTTAATACACTTTTCTGGGGCTCGAATTGACAAAAACAATCGAGAGAATTCGAAGCCAAACCTGTGACGTCTCTCTGCACTGTCACCCCACTGTATCTTCAGAATCGTAACAGCCAGCTTTTCTTCAGAGGTGAACACAAACGAGCACAAGCAACAGTCCCCAGTGGCCTGCAATACGACACATCATTAATTAGTTTTACTATTCAGTTCCAGGTAAGTTCACGGATCTCAATGAGAGGGAACACCCTCCTATAAGTTACAACAGATCTGTCTTCTGACCGCTTCTTCCAATTCAGGGTGGTGGGGGAGCCAGGGCCTATCCCAGGAGGAAATGAGCGCAAGGTGGGATACACCCTGGACAGAATGCCAGTCCATCACAGGACAAACAGAGACATGCACACACTCACACTAGGGCCAGATTCCCCAGAAGCCAATAAACCTAATAGCACTTCTTTTAACTGTTGGAGCAAACCAGAGCACCTACAGCAACATGGGCAGATAGCACCCCAGGACTGGAACTGAATTCAGGGCCCCAGCACTGCAAAGCAGAAATGTTGTAACGCCACCTGTTACAACACATTTATACAGTACAGTAGATATGAATTGTAAATATCCATTGCATACACAAAGATGTATACATTTGAACAGATCACTGATTCTCTTTTCAATGATCAATGACCAAATTTCAAAGGTGCCGTACATTTCTGCAGCCCAGTCTC